AAACGGAACATACAAAAATAGATAATGTATTAAAAGAAAAACAACGAAACTTAGAAGATCGATCACGCCGAAACAATCTTAGGATTAAAGGAATTTACGAGAATGATGAAGAATCATGGGGGATACTGAAAAAAAAGTCCAAACATTCATCACCGAAAAACTTGGACTAAAAGATGTTGAAATTGAAAGAGCTCACCGCACTGGACGAAAAAACGATAGACGACCAAGGACTATAATATTAAATCTTCAGAAATATAAAGACAAAATAAGAATATTGAAGGAATTGTTTCGACTCAAAGGCACAAATACGTTCGTGAACGAAAATTTTTCTCGACAAACCGTCGCTATTCGAAAAAAATTGTTCGCTGAAGTGAAAGAAAGGCGATTGAATGGTGAAAGTGTTACGGTAAGGTATGACAAAATTGTTTATATTAAAACCTCTTTTAAAAGCAACTTTAACAAATAATTTTATGGGAATTCCTAAAAAGAAATCTTAAATCAAATATATTAATCATGGCTACAAAAGAAAACTTTGAATCTCGTGTTTTTAAATTTCAGAAAACAAATTACTCTACGGTAAATAAAAACTTAGACTCTGATAACAATATTTATCACAATAAATTTTCAGATTGTTCATATTACTTTCCTAGCCAACTAGAAGGGTTTCTTTTTAAGAATGAGCATGAAAAAAATAATAATCAAATGTTAATTCTCCACCTAAATATAAGAAGCCTAAATAGCAATTTTGAAAAACTTTTAGACTTATTAGAAGAAACTAAACATGTTTTTAATATAATTTGTTGAACGGAAACTTGGACTTCTTTGAAGACCTATATAGTTTTCATCTACCTCATTTTAATACAATTTCAATGGAAAGAAAAACAAATAAGCGCGGTGGTGGAGTTTAAGCGTTTAGGCGTTTCTGACTGCGATAAAGAAATTGCAACTTTAGAAATTACTAACTGCAACAAAAAAATTTTTTACTAAGCTGTTGTTATCGGCCACCTGATGGCGTAAGCGAAAACTTTGGCATGTTTTTACAATAAGTTATTAAAAAAGGTACCGATTAAAAAAAAGCAAAATTTTATAATTGGAGATTTAAACATGAATTGTTTTCTTTATAATGATAACCTTAAAGTTAAAAATTTTTATGATGAAATTTTTGAAACGGGTTCAATATCTTTAATAAACAAACCTACAAGAGTAACGATAAACTTAGCAACTCTAATAAATAATATAATAACTTCAGATATTTTCAACAATGATTTAAAAGTAGGTATTTTGCGAACCGATATATTAGATCATTTCCCTATATTCCTAAAATTTGATAATACAAACTCTAAAAAAACTTTAACCGCACAAAGAGTAATTCGAAAACGCATTTATAAATAGGCTAACCTTAATTTATTTAAAAATCAACTTTCATTACTGCACTGGAAGAACATAAATTTTAATGATAATGCTAACAATATCTATAAGTCTTTTTTCGAAACATTTTTTTCTGTATACGACGCTAACTTCCCAATCATTAAAAATAAAATAACTACTAAGAGCTGAATACTCCTTGGATCACAAAGGGCTTTAAAAAATCGTCCAAAATTGAACAAAAACTACACATAAAATTTTTAAAAACGAAAACACCTAAAAACGAAAAAATTTACAAGGACTATAAAAATCTATTTGAAAAAATTCGCAAAAATCTAAAAAAAAATTATTACTCCCAATTACTCAATACATTTAAAAACGACACAAAACGCACATGGCAAATAATGAATGAAATTATTGGAAAACAAAAATCATGCTCAGGTTTTCTGCCACAAATGGTTAGAGCCGATAACAAAAGTTTATACGAACCAAGAACTATAGCTCAAGAATTTAACAAATTTTTTATCGATATAGGTCCAACACTTTCTAAAAAAATCCCAAAGTCCAAAACTTTATTTACTGATTTTTTAGTACCCATTGATAATTGCATTGGTTCAGTTGAGTTGTCTTCTAAATTATTGTTTGAAGAGTTTGAAAGAGCCTTCAAATCTTTAAAAAATAATAAAGCAATTGGAACAGATCAAAAAAATGGAAACGTTATTATATATTGTTTTGAACAGCTAAAAGTTGTTCTTTTTAAAGTTTTTAAAGCTTCTATCCATCAAGGTGTTTTACCCGAACTGTTAAAAATTGCCAAAATTATTCCTATTTTTAAAGAAGGGGACAAATCAATTATTAGTAACTATCGCCCTACTTCTGTTCTTTCCATATTTTCAAAAATTTTAGAAAGAATTATATATAACAGTGTATACAAATATTTTCATGTTAATAAATTACTTAACATTAATCAATTCAGTTTTAAAAAGGATAGCTCAACTGAACATGCAGCTATCCAATTTGTACGTGAAATCTCAAAATCATTTAAAAAATCACAATATACTATAGGACTTTTTATTGATCTACCAAAAGCTTTTGATACGGTTGATCACCAAATTCTAATCTATAAACTTAAACACTATGGAATAAAAAATAAAGTTTTAAAATGGTTTGAAAGCTACTTATCAAATCGTAAACAATTTGTTCTGAGTAATGACGGTTATCATACCAATTGTCTTTCTTAAACATGTGGAGTCCCACAAGGCTCAATTCATGGTCCACTCCTTTTCCTAATTTATATTAATGATTTAAATAAAGCCTCTAAACTAACAAGTATTATGTTTGCAGATGATACTAACTTATTTCTTTCTAACAGTGATATCTTTGAACTTTTTAAAACAATGAACAAAGAACTTATACATGTATCGAGTTGGTTTAAATGCAATATGTTAACTCTAAACTCTAATAAAACAAAATGGACCTTATTCCATTCGCTTTCCAAAAAACGGTATTTGCCATTAAATTTACCTAAAATTTTTATTGATCAAAATGAAATAAAAAGGGATTTCGTAACAAAATTTTTAGGTGTTTATCTTGATGAAAACATCACTTGGAATCATCATATTGACTACATAAGCACTAAAATTTCAAAAAACATAGGAGTTTTATATAAAGCACGAATCGACCTCAATAAGAAAATTTTAATTAAACTTTATTATTCATTTATACACAGTTATTTAAATTATGCTAATATCGCCTGGGGCAGTACAGAAAAAAGCAACGTCTTTATCGCCGTCAGAAACATGCTATCTGTTTAATCTGCTTTGCAAATCGCTTTTCTCACGCAAAACATTGTTCTATTGAGATGAGAAATTTAAATATATACGAGCTAAATATATATAATGTTTTTTGTTTTGTATGCATGTGGAAAAATGACTTGTCTCAATCTGTCTTCAAAGATATTTTTACTCTGAAACCCATCAACAAAATACAATTTGAGAAATACTGATTTTTTTAAATGAACCTTTCTGTCAAACGAACTTTATTCAATTTTGTATTGTTTATCGGGCACCACACCTTTGGAATAAAATTGTTTTGCCTAATTTTGACTTTGAACTACCCATTACTTTTTTTTTTTTTTTAAAGTAGATTAAAAACCCTATTTTTTTCATTAGAAGACGTATTCTGTTATTATTAATAATATAAATAAATAACTTTGCCTTTTCTTATTTATATTTGTAAAAAGTTTATTCTTACTTATTTTGTTGATTTTATATTCTTTACTTAACGTATACGTTTATATAAAATACTGGTGAGTAGATCCGCGTGATCTTTCTTTGGATTATATAATATATTTTTGGATTATATATTTATGAAATTTGTAAAAATTTGATACTGTTAATGCTTGTTTGAACTTATTTAAGGTTCTGATGACAAGATCCTTTGATCTTCTTTCAGATACCTTAGTTTATATTTGTGAAAGTTTATTATTATTATCATTTTTTTTTTTTTTTGGCAATATATAGTTGTAATACGACCAACAAACGTAAAATTAGAAAAAAAAATTAAATAAAAAAAAAATAAACTGCATGGTATTTTCAAATTAATATTAATAATAAATACTTCTAATCTACATTTCTTCGTAAGTTTATATGCTATTATCTTATTTAATTAATTATGATATTGTTAGACAGGGCCGTAGAAGCAAAATTTATATTGAGGGAAATGGAGGGAGCAGGACTACCCAAAATTGTTTTATTTTTGGTCATTTTTTTCAAAAAACTTTCTTCAAAGTTATTTATTTGGAAATAATTTGGCGGGAGGGAGCGGCGACACGCCCTTGCTACCCCGCTAGTTTCTAAGAGACTGTTTAAATCTTTATTCTAACTTTATAAATTTATTGTAAATACGGATGAAAGCACTAAAGAAGGAAAACGATAATGCGGATTAAAGCAGAAATTTGTAATGCAATCATCCTGACTTAAAGAACGAGCTACTGGGGCAGAATTGAACAATTTATGTATAAATTGAGTCATTTCATGTATAAAAAAATATTTTTGTTGCTTAAAATTATTATGAAATTCAAATTTCTTTTTTAAAATGATTTATACCAATTCAATGTATTAACCTAATACAACTGTTGCCTTTTCAGCAAATTTAATATAATGTCTCCTTAACTTTTTAATGTTAAATATAAACTGCTGCATTTAAACAAAGAAAATAGCCTCGAATCTGTGAAAACAAATTTTAAATAGTAATGAAAACGCGCGCAATTATATAAAAAATATTTGGGTTCAATATAAGATTTTCGTCAAAAACCCAGTCTAATATCAAATAGGACCCAGTTAGATCCCACTGAAAAAACTAAGATAGGAACCATGTGGAATAACCAGATTTTTTCTACAATTTTTTCCTCGTTTCATCCCATCTCACACTCAGTTACACTAGTTAACCGAGTAACTTTTAAATAAAAAATATATTCGAAAAATAATTGAGATTTAAACATGTAACACAAATATTTGTATAAATTAAAAAGATGGAAAATCCATTATCGTTTTTGACAATTTATTATTTATTAAATAACCCATAAACTTGAATAAAATAAATAGGTTAAATAACAATTCAAATTGACAACACACCTGTTTGATAACTACTTTGTATACGTTTTTTAGTTGAAATAAATCCTTTGCAGTTTTCCGATATATTTTTTTTAACTGTTTGATATAATGACCAGGATCTTCCATTTGAATTTTGAAAATATAATTTAATTGGAATTTCAATAATGTATATTTCAAATGAGCAGCTTGTATTAGCAAGTGTAGTAACAATGGTATGATTTGCTCCAGTACTGTTTAATTCATGTAGAATCTAAATTTAAGATTAACGAATTTATTTTAGCTGTAAAGTACTTCAATTATAATAAAGTTTTAATCAAATGATAAAATATATATCTGCATATTGAAAGTTTATTAAAAGCAGCAAAGTTTTGGTAGATAGTTACAAGAAACCGCTAACAATAAATTCCAAAGCGTTATAGTTGTAAAATTGAAATAGATACACCATTCTTAATTGAAAACATCTTTTGTCCTTAACTGAGATTTTATCTCTGCAACTTGTAAAGCGTACTCTCGTTTTTTTTTTTCATCTCTTCATCTCTAACTTTTCTGCATTTATTTATCAATATCATAATTAAGTACATATTATTACTTGATAACTGTCAACTAATATTTACAGCTTCAAAGTACTTATTAATAAATTTATTTAGGACTTTTATATATATATATATATATATATATATATATATATATATATATATATATATATATATATATATATATATATATATATATATAATATATATATATATATATATATATATATATATATATATATATATATATATATATATATATATATATATATATATATATATATATATATATATATATATATATATATATATATATATATATAAGAAAAAAACCGTTCAAAAAATCAATTAAAAAACCGTTACAAAATTCAAAAAAATCAATGAAATAAGTTCTGACGTCAAATATTTATAATACAAATAATAGCAATAATAATAATAATGATAATAATAACAACAATAATAATAACAATAATAATAATATTATGGAAAAAACATCTATTCTAATCGCCAGTGTCAAATTGAGAAAGGAGGAATTTGTTTCTATGTCTGCACTTAGAAACAATCTCACTCCTTTTATTTAGTAGATTAGTATTTTTATAATTTAGGATTTCATATTTTTCGGTGAGACATAATTTACAAGATTTGGTTTAGATAAAACAATCAAGTGGTTTGTTTGATGTTTCCATGGGAGCTTTTGACGGCGCGGAGGTTTGTGAGTTTGTAGGAATATTTTTTCTATTCGAAATTTCAAAATTTTATAACAAGTTTGAGGTTGGTTTATACCGTGACGATGGATTTTAGGAATAAAAGCGGCCCTTAAATGGAAAAAATAAAAAAGCATCTTTCCGAAATATTTAAATACAATGGCTTACGGATTTCTATACAATGCAACATGAAAATTGTCAACTACCTCGACGCCACTCTAAATCTTAGTGAGTGCACCTTTAAACCTTATCTCAAACCTGATAATACATTAAATTATATCCATGCTGATTCAAATCACCTTCCAAGTATACTAAAACAAATACCACACTCGGTTGAACTTAGATTATCTACAAATTCTTCTACCAAAGAAATATTTCAACATGCTGTTCCTCTATATAATGAGGCTTTATTAAAGTCTGGTTTTAAATGTAATCTAACATATAATCCTAAAGCAATATCAACTGAAAAACGGAACAGAGTACGCAACATTATTTGGTTTAATCCTCCATTTAGCAAAACTGTTAGCACCAACGTGGGCAAATGTTTTTTGAAATTAATTGGCAAACATTTTCCTAATAATAACAAACTACATAAAATCTTTAACAGGAACACAGTCAAAGTTAGCTACAGTTGTATGCCAAGTGTGAAATCGATCATAAATTCGCACAACAAATACATTTTATACAACGATACAAACTCTAATCAAGAAAATTGTAACTGCTTAGATAAAAATGTCTGCCCGTTGTCCAATAGATGTTTAACAAGCAACATTGTATACCATGCAACTGTAACCACTACTAGTGATTCATCTCCTAACGAAAAATCCTACATCGGTGTAAGTGAGACTTCTTTTAAATTGAGATACGCTAAACACGTTAAATCTTTTAACATCCCAAAGTACTAAAATGATACTGAGCTGTCAAAGCAGGTGTGGAAAATAAAAGAAGCCAATTTAGTTCCTATAGTTAAGTGGAAAATTCTCAGGCGATGTAAAGCATATAATCCTACATCCAAATCTTGTTAATTATGTCTCACCGAAAAATATGAAATCCTAAATTATAAAAATACTAATCTACTAAATAAAAGGAGTGAGATTGTTTCTAAGTGCAGACATAGAAACAGATTCCTCCTTTCTCAATTTGACACTGGTGATTAGAATAGATGTTTTTTCCATAATATTATTATCATTGTTATTATTATTGTTGTTATTATTATTATTAATATTAATATTATTGTTATTATTATTATTATCATCATTATTATTATTGCTATTATTTATATTATAATTATTTGACGTCAGAACTCATTCAATCGTTTTTTTTTTAATTTTGTAACGGTTTTTTAAAATTATTTTGAACGGTTTTTTCTTGATTTAAATATATGGCTGTTGAGTACCAAAAACGGCATGAAACTTTAAGTACCGTAAAAAAGTGGTTTTTCTCATCTAACCTTTTATTTATTTATTGATCTATTTTTTGATTATTTCATTCATTTTTTAAAATTTACAATAGTGTTTAACTATATCTTATTGTTAGATTTTAAACCATGCTTATAATAAATAATGTTTATAAGTTTACAGCAGCATTAGTTTAGCGTTATTAATTTAGTCAAGTTTTAATACCTGTGATATAGTTCTTTAAGTGTGACAAAACTATAATTTTTTTTTTATAAACTAGTTTATTGACTTGAAATTGAATTTAAATTTTCAGTTATGCCTTCAAAGAATGACACTCTATCAAACCAAAACCCATTTAGAGTTCCAAAAGACAAAGAAATGGTCAAGTTCGATTTGAGAGTGATCAATATAAAGATATTGATCACTCTCAAATCGAAAAAGAGTTGATTATTATCAAATAATCAAAACAACAAGTATTAAAAAATTTTTAAACTCTTTGGCTTTGAAATTGCAAAAGAATTCTTTAAAATATTACCGGTTTTTACATCCATTTAAAACAATCATGACAATCATTCAAAGCAACCATGACATTCATTTAAAACACTGCGACAATCAAATTAAACAATGTGATTTTCATTTAAAAAATTTAAGGCATGCGCAATCTCAACATTCTATATTATTTTTAAAAAAAAGGTCTTCTTTATATATTTATTTATCTAATATTATATAAATTTATTTTTATTAATATTATTTTAATTTAATGGAATTTATTTTAAATTTGAATGGATGTGACGTTTGTTTTAAATAGATGCAAAACCATATTTTTTTTTACATATTTTTTATACACATACTGTAGAAGCAAAACAACCATGATATTCAATTAAAACATGCATGATGATAATTAAAATAACCACGATTTCCTATTAAAATATTTAGAGTATGAGGATATTAGATTTTCATTAAAACATGCAGCTGTTTGCCAAAATAAGCGATAATTTGTTTTGAGATCGGTCGCTGATTAAAGAAAAATTCAATCTGAAACTTTATTCCCACAAAAACCTCAATCTGAATCTTTATGCCGCGAAATTCCGTTTCCCAATATATGCAAGATTTTGTTATAAATCTTTTCGTTGATCAAGGAAAAAACTCAACCTGAAGCTTCATCGTTAACAGGAATTAATTGAAACACAATACAATCTATTTTAAGAAGGTACGATCGAACGAATTCAACACTTCCTGGTTCTAGAGGTGGCGCTCGTCACTTTATTTAAAATGAAGAGATTAGAAGATGAATTGAAGAGCTTATAAACGATAACACAACGACAACTATAATTGAAATTAAATATGCTTTAAATGTAAATATATCAATTAAAACTGTCTGGAGATGGGTGACCAATCTTGGATACATATAAAATTACTCGACCAATTTATGAAAGAAGAAACGACAATGATGTAAAAAATCTTCGTATTGAATATGTTAGGTGGTATACTTCAATCTGGCCTATTAATCGCTACCGAAATTTTGTTTTTATTGATGAAAGTTTTATTGATGATTTAATTTACACATGTTTCCCAGTTGTTCATGGGCAAGAAGAGGAGTAACACCAAACCCGATCATTCACCCTAGACAACATAACGTTTCGATGATATTGGCCGTCAATGGTTTAAATATTGTTTACTGCAAAGCTGTCAGTGTGTCAGTCAACACAGTTTTGTTTAAAGAATATATTGATGAAGTTGTACGAGTTTTGGGGACAGAGGAAGAATTCACCCAGGTGATGGATAATGTCAGAATCCATCATGATGTTGAGATGAGGGCTCAGAACATTCAAATAGAGTTTGAACTTTATTTGAAAATTTGCCACCATGTTCACCATTCTTGAATCCGTGTGAAGAGATTTTTTTTTATCTTAAGAATCACGTGGGAGGAAATACGGCCCCAGCTTGAAGAAATGAACTAATTTCAATAATGCGTTAGGCATGCTTATCTATTCCTAATGTTAACTTATCAAACTATTACACACACAGCGAAAGCTTTTTCGAAGCGTGTTTTAGGTCAGATGACATACCTCGACAGTAATTGGAAAATAAACATTATATTTTAAATAAAATAAAATTTTACAAATTTTTTTTAAAAAAATCGATTAAAAAAAAATATAAAAAATTATTTTTTTTTTAAATAATATAGAATGTTAAGATTGCGCATGCGTTAAAAGTTTTAAATGAAAAACACGAATGTTTTAATTGAAAATCACAATTGTTTTAATTGAAAATCACATTGTTTTAATTAATTGTCGCGGTGTTTTAAATGAATGTCATGATTGTTTTAAATGGTTGTCGTGATTGTTTTAAATGGATGTAAAAACCGGTAAAAAATAAAGTGTTTTTACTGACGCACAGTGAATCGACTCATACAATCTAGCTGGACAAAAGTCAATTCAAGGAATTATTTAATAGATATTCCCATGATATTACTGAATACTCCCAAGGGAAAAATTCAAAATATTATTTAGTGCACGTGATTTTAAGTGTTAAATTGTTAGCGCTCAAGTGTTACTTAAAGATAAACATATTTTTTTAAAAGAAAATAGCTGCAATTTGGCTGTGTAACAATAACATATAACTAATTTATTGTGAATAATAATTAACTCTGCTGTCATGAATTTTACTTTAGAAGGTATGAACTTTATATTTTATCGAAAACTTATTTAAAATAATTGACAAAAATGATAATTCTATAGATTTAAAAAAACAATATAAAAATTGCAATTTCTTTTTCGTTTTTTAATTTTAAAAGCGTGTAACTAATTTTATTCAAGTATATCCAAGCTGATTGTTTTATATATTGTAACCACAACAATAAGTTGTCTAAATATAAAAGATTTTGCTACCCTTATTTGCCCATTTCATTTTTATTTAACTTTTTTCAGACCAAGTGTATTCTATTAAAAACCTGGAGTTACTTGAAGTATGGAAAAAACATAAAACGGAAGAACGAAAATCTCTTTTGTTTGATTTTATATTGAAAGACTATATTACAGAAGATGTTACTAGTGATTCGAAAAAAAAAATACAGTTAAAATTTGCAAGCGAATCCGCTAAATTTGCGCAAAAGTGGAATGCAGCCAATAGAAATATTGATATATTTTTAAAGAAAAATAAAAGTTGGTTAGAGGGCAATAATTTAGAATTTAAAATAAGTTTGCTTCCGTCCTGTGCTTCCATAACATCTGAAGGAAATCGGCCTCAAGGTCGGCCAAAGAAAAGCTTTGAAGACTTATCTTTAAAAAGTAAAAGACGTAGAGTTGAAGACTTATCGTAATCGCGGAGTGCCAATGAATTAACAACGGCTGCTGAAATAGCACATCGTTTGTCGGGTCAAAGAAACGTAGCTACTTCTATTAGAAAAAGTACTAATACCTTAGAGCAAAGAAAATCTACTGATGTTATTTGTGATACCAGGCAGTTAAGTAACGATGAGGCACTTGCCTATTATGTAGATTCAAAGTGTACTAGTCACTCTTATAAACAAACAAGAAAGTGGTCGTTAAAAGCAGGGCATGAAGTATTTCCGTCTCACTATAATTTATGTAAATCCAAAAGGTTGTGTTACCCTCCTGAAGAATTTATTTCTATCTCAGAAACACAAGCTGAAATTAATCTTCAAGCCATATTGAATAAAACAACTAAACGCTTAATTGAAACTATAAGTCGATTTTCCGAAAATGCATCCTCTAATTTGTCGCTTTCATTAATAAGCCAATGGGGATGTGACGGAAGTTCTGGCCACAGTACCTATAACAAAGATTTGAGAACTCCGATGATAATGATGAATTTCTTTTTGTGTTTGCGTTTGTCCCCTTGATATTGAGTGATGACTCTAATACTACTATTTGGCAAAATCCTCGGCCATCGTCAACACTTTATTGCCGACCAATTAAATTTATATTTTTAAAAGAAACACAGGAATTTACTGTAATAGAAACAGACAAAGTTTTGAAAGAAATATCTGAACTTCTTCCAACACTGTGCATTGTTGGCGAATTTAAATTCACTGTGAAGCACAATCTGTTACTTACAATGACAGACGGAAAAGTTTGTAATGCTTTAACCGATACGCGCTCTACACAAAAAATATTATATTTGTGGTGCAACTCCAAAAATGATGAATGGCGAATTAAAAGGTATGGTTGATAAAAAAGAAAGTTACAATTTTGGTGTGTCTACTTTGCATGCATGGATACATACATTTTTATGCTTGCTACACATTAGTTACCGTTTAGACATTAAAAAGTGGCAAGTTAGGAGCAATAGGGATAAATGTCGTATGAGAGAACGTTCGGAAGAGATTAGACAAAAGTTTAAAAAACAAATGGGACAAATTGCGGATAGACCGAAACCACATTATGGCAATATAAATGATGGCAACACAGCTCGCAGGTTTTTTTTAAATCCAGAAAAGAGCGGAGAGATTACAGGATTAAACGTCGAATTAATTAAAAAATTAGTGTTTTATTAAGCACGCTATCTTCTGGTCATGACATTATTTGTGTCAAATTTGAAAAACTTTGTTTCGAAACAAGGACTTTATACTTACATTTATATTCGTGGTATTACATGCCGGTTACAGTCCACAAAATTTTAATGCATAGCACGGAAGTTATTAGGTCGTGTATTCTTCCGGTTGGACAACTTTCAGAAGAACCTCAAGAAGCACGAAATAAAGATAGGAAATAGGGGGGTAGTAGTTAGAGGTAGGGTCCCTTATCCTCCGCAAATAAAAACGTATAATTTATTAAACTCAAGTTAATTATTCAATAAAATGTTATTTATTTCAACCTTTCATGACTAGAAAAATCAAATTCGTGAACAAAACATTTTTGTCCAGCTAGATTGTATGAGTCGATTCACTGTCGACGTCTAGAAAAATGTAAAAAAAGTACTTTCAAATTAGATAAGCTTTAGACAACTTGCTGACTAAAAAATAGATGTTGAAAGCAACTGTATTTTTGTTAGAATAGTTTATCTTTGTAATAATTTAGCCTGAAAAATTGATCATTTAATGATTTTCAGGCCTTTTATTCAAAAGAGTTTAATTAATGTAGCTTCATTTTCAAGTTGTGTTTTTGACTGGAATTTATCTAACACTTCTATTGTAAAAATTAAGTTATCTAATATTTCTATTGTAAAAATGCTTCTGCGTCACACAAACAATACAAAAAATGTTTGATTAACGTTGTTTTAATAAAATCAAGTTATATCTTTTTTACTGCCTAATTTCTAATTAGCATTTATCAAAATTTTCTTAAAATAAAAATAAAATTTATAAAAATATATTTTAACAAATATTTAAAATAAAAATATCTTAAATATAGGCAGTTTATCTTTATGCTTGAAATCATTTTAAAATAAACGAAAGTAAAGTTTTTATATAAACAAGCTTTATATTGGTGAACGATGTTCTGGGTTTCTTAAGAAACGATAAATGCATGATATAGTTTTTTATATTTTTGATTTTTTATTTTATCTTAATTTATTATAAAACTCATTTTAATTTATTACAAAACAATTAATTAAATATTGAATTTTTTGACCACTTAAAGAGAAACTTTATCAAAATTACATGTTTTCTATCATGTATTTTTTAAGGTTAATTGTAGACATTAACTGTCAAGACTTCTGTACTAAGAGTGTAAGTTTGTTGAAGAGATTTTTTAGAGGATAGAATTGTAGGAGAAGATTATCAAATTGATTCAAAAAGGCATTGAGAATTTTATAATAAGGGTTAATCTATATTATATATATTTTTTTTAACAATACTTTTTGTTTAGGATTGTTTAGGACTTAAATTTATTGAGTAGCATTTTAAATTGGGTTTAAAAAAGCAAACGTATCTAAAATAATAGTACAATATAGGTTATGTAATTTTACCATATATTTATGATTGCCCAAATCTAGCTTTTCATAACCTTCTGTTAAATAATCGCTCTTAAATTTTAAAAACATAGGTAAAAAGTATTGCCACGTCACGTTTACAGCCAACTCGCAAGGTTCATATATGTAGCTTATTTGAATTGTAAGATTCAGCATACTTCTGATAACAAAATGCAAAAAGTTTAAAATGCTTAAATAGTAAAGTGTTTAAATTAAGTCATAAGAATTAACAAATATAGAATAATTATAACAAAATTTTTTATGAACTAATTACTTGAATAACGTTCCATTAAACAATACGTTTACAAGAGGTTTGCAGTATGTGTCATTTTCTAAAAAAATTTAAAAATGCGACAGATATATGCACATATAAATTTATATAGAATTAGTAGAAAACGTAAATAACGAAAAATATATATGCACATATAAATTTATATTTATAAATTAGTAGAAAACCACTTAGCAAAATTTTTTCTCATTTAACACTGTGTTTCATCATTAAAGACTCATCAAAAATGAATGATCAAATTAATAAAACTTAAAATTATACTAAAAATTAAATTACAGGAAGTCACGTTTTAACTACTGCAATTTTTCACACATTTGTGTAATTTGCTGACACTATTGTAAAAAGAATTCTTTACTTAAATGATTACTTAAGCTTTTTTAAAAAATAGTATATTTTTTTCAAAGGGGAGTTAATGTAACAATTGTTTGAGCTCACTTATTTTTATAGTTTTTTAAGAGAAACTTAATTTTGTGTCTATATTTAGAAATCAATTCCGATTTTTTGTTTAATAAACATTCTTGGTTTGTATATGTATTTATTTCAAATATTTCTTGTAGACATAGTATGCATTTTTTGGAAATATTGTTATATCCAGGCACTGTTTTAGAGATGGACCAATTCAGTGTAAAATCATCAATGTTTTTATCTTTAATTCCCATATATATTTTGACAGCATGGTGTCTTTTGAATACTTTTTATTTTTAAAAGATTGCTTATGATTGGCAAAACGTTTTTTCCATTCACCCTCTGTTATGCCAATATATTGTTTATTAGGTACATTCTTAGAGGTGACAACACATTTATATACCACATTTTTTGATAAGCAACTTCCTCTCATTGGACAATTGTTTTTTTGTTTACAATTACAATTTTCTGTAGTTTTTTCATTTTGGATTTTTTGTTTTTGTTTAACAAAGCATTGTTGTGACCTTTTATAATTCTTTCCATATTTTTTGTGCAACTGTAGATAACTTTAATAGTATTTCGATTAAAAATTTTATGTAATTTATTAGAGGGCGGGAAATGCTTATCGATCAATTTTAAAAACACTTTTCCTATGTTTGTGGAAACATTTTTGCTATATGAGGGTGTTAAACCAAATTACATTTCTAGTTCTATTTCGATTTTTTGTATTCTTTTTTTCAGGATCAAATTTTAATTCAAAGTTTTCAAAACCACTTTTTTTAAGGGCATTTTCAAATATCTGTTTGGAGGAATGGAATACATTTTTATTAGAGGAGTTTTGGTTAAGCCTGTTGTTAATTGAAATCGGGATTTGTTTTAGAATTTGGGGTGGATGATTTGAGTTAATATTAATATACAATAATTCATCTTTTGGTTTTTTGAAAGGCTTATATGTATTTTCCGAGAGATTAAATGTGACATCAAGAAAGTTCACAATTTTTAAATTTATGTTTATTTCAATTTGAAAGCCAATATTTTTAAAAAATTTTATAATATCTTTTCTAAATTTATCAAGCTGTGGACCAGATTTTTTACGCATTACTATTAAACCATCGTCGTGATAAGGGCCTAAATCATTTATATTGATTATTTTACTTAATAAATCTAAAATATATAATCCAACAAGTTCACAAATTTCTGCTCCATCATAACTGCCCATTCCCAGTAAGCACAAGACGCATTTTAGACACTTATAGACGTCTAAAACTAGTCTAGGTAAAGACGCACTTTTATAGACGTTTTAAAGACATCTTTTAGACGTCTTTTATGAATGCGTTTTAAAAATGACCTTTAAAAGGCGTCTTTTTTAAAGATAAAAAGACGTCTAGAAGACGTTAATTTTTAAGACATCTCCTTGACGTCTTTTATAAAGGCGTTTTTAAAATGACGTTTAAAAGGCGTCTATTGAAGCGTTAAAAAAACGTCTAGAAGATATCTTTTTTTAAGACATCTTCTAGACGTCTTTAATAAATGCAGTTTTAACATGACGTTTAAAATGCGTCTTTTTAGAGTTTAAAAATACGTTTAAAAAACGCGTAATAAATAGTCTAAAATACGCATTAAAAGTCGTCTAGATCAAAAATAAAAGACGTCTTTTCTGAGACCTGTTTATAAATATGTCATTATGACTTCTTTTTGACGGCTTTGTCATTACGCGTTAAGTAGATGTCGTATATTCAAAGTAAAAACATAGTTTTTATTATTTTCAATAATTTGTTCAAGTTTTAAGTGTAAATTACTTTAAATTAAATTACTTTTTTACACAATTGCTAAAATTGTTGTCACAGGAATTACTAAAATAATTGCTATAATATTAATATATCTTTTTTTTATTAATAATTATTTTGCTTTTTTAATAGATAGTTGACTGATCATGATAATAAGTGAAAATGGCAAGAATAATATATAAGTTAAATATCAGTATTTTTAGTTTTTATACACCCACAAGCCATATAATAAGTCAAGTATGCGGTCAAAAATTAGCTGACAACGCGTATGTTAAGTTTTATTAAACTAAAGGTAAGTTATAAATGTTTAAATACTGTTTTGATATATATTTGTTATTGTTATATATTATTTTCATTTTTGATGCATCAATCGTTGGTGGTGATTACAGCAATATTATTTTGATTACTGGTTCCTTGGTATATTTTGTATATACGAAATCATAACAATATATGATGTTATAAATACAATGAATATATACCACATACTACCCGAAAATGTTACGTCTAAATTACGTCTAAAACGCGTTTTTATAAAGACGTCTTTATTTAGACGTCTTTTAGCCTTATGATCTAGACGTCTACATGTGCGCCTTTTAGACCTCCTTAAAGACATCTTTAAAACGTCTTTTAAACGTCTTTGTGCTAACTGGGTTGTTACATCAAAGCAGTTATGAATGTTTTTCTTTTTCCAAGTTTCCTTACTAAAATAAAGTAAGGTTTTTCTACAATGCTTTATTATGCGAATTGTTTCTTCAAGAATAACTGTGTGGCTTTTTGCAAATTCAATTGTTTTATCTAAAATATTTGCAGTTATTGAGGGGTAAAAATTATTAATATCAAATTGAATAAATGTACAGTCATTTTTATTATCGACTATGGAGAACCAATTTATATATTTAGTGGTATTTTTCCACTGTTGCAAATTTAATTTATTTCTAAGAATTTTATTAACTTTTTCCAATTTAATTTTGCTTACATGTCCAATCTCACTTTTTGAGGGAACCAATAACCTACAAGGAAGTTTGTTTTGAAAATTTGGTTTATGGTCTTTTAGTGTTACAAAGGCTTGGGCAGGAGCAGTTGACTCGATTCTGTTATTAAGGCTTATTTTTTTAGCAATACTTTGCGCTTCTAAATTAATTGCATTTTCCAAATTTTTAGGGGCTTTCTCATAAGAACTAGTAATATTGTCGCGTAAAATTTTTTCATAGTTTTCTGTTGTAAGTTGGTAAATGTTATTTGTTTTATCAGCAAAAACAAAAATATTAGGGTTTGGTTTAATTTTTTTAACATCTAACTTTAATTCTGTTTGAAATTTGTTTTTTATAGCGCGAAACTTTATTGTTTTAATTAAGTGCAATAGGTCATTTTCAAAATTTTCCAAATCAGGTATGAAAGGTGGGGTATTTTTTGTTTTAAATCCATAATTATCATTATCTTGGTTATTATTAAATACATCATCTGTGTTTGTATTTGGTTTTGAGAAAAAATGCGCTTTCCAACGAATTTTTTTTATAAAATGCTCAACTTTTTCAATCAAAGAAATAGTATAACTTTTTTCATCTAGTATAGGTATATTTTTCAAGGAGTAAGTGAAATTGTTATTATTATTATTAAAAAATTATTATTATTATTATTATATATATATATATATATATATATATATATATATATATATATATATATATATATATATATATATATATATATATATATATATATAATATATATATATATATATGCATATATAATCCGGAATATATATATATATATATATATATATATATATATATATATATATATATATAATATATATATATATATGCATATATAATCCGGAATATATATATATATATATATATATATATATATATATATATATATATATATATATATATATATATATATATATATATATATATATATATATATGCATATATAATCCGGAATATATATATATATATATATATATATATATATATATATATATATATATATATATATATATATATATATTTATATATTTATATATGCATATATAATCCGGAATATATATATATATATATATATATATATATATATATATATATATATATATATATATATATATATATATATATATATAAATATATATATATATATATATATATATATATACATATATATATATATATATATATATATATATATATATATATATATATATATATATATATATATATATATATATATATATATATATATATATATATATATTCCAAAAATATATATATATATACATAAATATATATATATATATATATATATATATATATATATATATATATATATATATATATATTCCGGAAATATATATATATACATAAATAAATATATATATATATATATATATATATATATATATATATATATATATATATATATATATATATATATATATATATATTGAGTGGCGTAAAAAGGTTGCAAAAATTGGGGGGGGGGGGGCTTAAAACATATGTTAAAAAGGAAAATATATTTATTAAATTATATATCACATGCAACGTGATTAATCATTTTTTTAAACGAGATTATTGACCTCGAATTAAAAAAAGAATTAGGTTCGTTATATTTTTAGTAAAAACTTTGAAAACTTTAAAATTTTACATGCATAATCCAAACACGATTTTAAAATTATCTGCCTTACAGAAACTTCCCAACGGGCATTTGTTGGTTTAAAATTGGTTTAGATCACGTTTAGATGGCATTTACGTCGATCTAAACGTTTAGGAATGTATTCTAAACGTGTTCTGAATATTTAATTTGCGTTAAAAATACTAAATTAAACATTTTCCGTACCGAACTAACTTA